ATCTCAGTTTACTGCCACCTCCGCCTCCCAGATGCAAGCAGTTCTCCTGCCTCAGCCTCCCGAGTAGCTAGGATTACAGGCGCCCACCACAACGCCAAGCTAATTTTTGTATTTTTAGTAGAGACGGGGTTTCACCATGTTGACCAGGCTGGTCTTGAACTCCTGACCTTAAGTGATCCGCCTACCTCAGCCTCCCAAAGTGCTGGGATTACAGGTGTGAGCCACCGCCCCCAGCCCTTCATTTCAATGTCTGTGTTGCTTTAAAAATTTGCAACAAACAACATATCATTTTTAATCTATAAAAGATAACATTTCTGGAATTTCATTGTCAGAAACTGAAAACTTGCAGTAATGTACATTACCCAGGAGATGTTCCTTGAATAAACTATGTTATTCAGAGAAGGAACTGGTGGTAATTAAATCTGTGCAGGAAAGAATCAATGAAGTCTTATGTCTGGCTGAACATACAGGTAGGCAGAAAAATGAGGAGAAAACATCCAAACCAGTTATTTGTAAAACTTTGACACAGGGAGATCAATCATTTATAGAATAATAGATTCAAAGCTTTTTAAGTTCTATATAAGACAAGAAATGGTTGTGATTGGGGACAATTATGAAAACATAAACCTAAGCACTGGGAATTAGAATTGACATGTATTCATGTTACTGTAACAGGATACATATCTTGTGGTGTAAACTTGCTTGTGTTAGTAGCAACATGAAGTTGGATCTTCTCCAAAAGCTTTCCAAGGGAGTACCAGAAGTTACAAGCATGTTAATAAGAAGATGAATTAGTGTCCATTTCAGGTTCAAATGAGAAGTCTTTGAGTCTGATTTGGCAAGAATTATTTTTAATAATTAAAAATTAAAACATTACTATAGTAATAAATTAAACATGAAAAATATAAAAGCACAAATAAAATGAAAAATATCAATAACAATCATAACTAATCACTAGTAATGTTCAGATTTACTACTTTTTTCCCATCTACATATAAATTCTATGAAAATGAAATGATATGTATTTTTATTATAGTATTTTTTTCATTTGACAAGCACTCATGAACTTTTTCCTATGTCAATATATGTTTTATCTATTAATATAAGCATTATTCTTAATGGGTTCACTGTATTCTATCATAAAACTTTATCATAATTTACTTAACTAATTTTCTATTGTTGGATATTTCAGTTGATGGCAATTTTTTCTTTATCAACAATACTTAAAAATATCCCATAACAATAAATACTTTTGTAACTAAGTTTTTGCACATATATTCAAATATTTTCTTATGGTAAATCATTCAAAGTAGACTTGCTGGGTTTAAGATAATGCCTCTAAGACTTTTAATACCATACACTGATTGCCAAATTGCCTTCTGGACAGGTTGCTCCAGCAGTGTGCTTTGTAATCTCTTTTGACAATATTAGGCTTTAGAAATTTTAAATCAAAGTAACTTTTAAAATGAAAATCCAAATCTTGTTATGATTCTTCTTCTTTAAAATCATTTTGTAACTATCAATTTATTGGTTTGCTGATTCAGTCATTCTACAAGTACTGAGTATGTACCAAGTGCCAAATATGCAGCTAGAAGACACTGAGAATACACAGGTGAGGAAGGCGCAGCTCTTGCCCTTGCGGATTGTATAGTTTACTGGGCAAATGGGATATGTAAATAAAAAATCCCAGAAGATGTTATAGAGGCCAGTGTGCTGGCAGGCATCATAAAGGAGTCATATGTGAGCTGTAAGGACAGCAGGAGTTTTCCAGGCAGAGTAGAGAAAGTAGGGAAACCCATGCTTGCTAAGCAAACAGCATGTCCTGAACCCTAGAATGCAAGCAATTTGGTAGGACGGGCCATGTATTATGTGCAAACTGGTGGGGAGTGGGGTGGTGGAGTAAGATCTTGTATCTCATGCTGGGGGCATTTCCCCATACCAGTAAGCTTTGGGGAGCTATTAAAGGATTCTGTGTAGAGGGTGGCATGCTCAACTTTGTATTTTAGAAATCTGTACTTAGAAATATAAGAAGTGATCACAGGGCATTCTGAGGGTGAGTATACTAACCTAAGGGGACCCCACCTGGCACCAAGCAGGCTGGTAACCCAACCTGGCAACACCAGCATCAGTAGCTTATCCTTTGTTGATATTGTCTAATAGATCAAATATGAAACTGTAAGATAACCAAAGTCTTCCGACCCCTAGGGTACTTGATCACCAATTCATAGCATTATACAGCTAGAAGTCCCCTTAAACTTTACCTAGTCCTAAACTCTCATTTTTACAGGTGAAGACACCTGTAAGCAATTTGCCCAAGGTCACACAGATAATGCTAACTCACCTTTACTGTGAATGTGCTCACAAAATTTTATTTTATAGTATGATGTCTCTAAATTAAAAAGTTTTCATATGATGAGAGACTGGATAAAGAAAATGTGGTGCATACATACCATGGAATACTATGCAGCCAGAAAAAGGAATGAGATCATGTCCTTTGCAGGGACATGGACGGAGCTGGAAGCTGTTATCCTCAGCAAACTAATGCAGGAACAGAAAACCAAACACCACATGTTCTCACTTATAAGTGGGAGCTGAACAATGAGAACATATGGACACTTGGAGGGGAACAATGCACACTGAGGTCTGTCGGGGGCTGATTTCCTTAAGGAAATCTCATATTTGATTTCCTTAAGATTTCCTTAAGTAAATCTTATATTTGGCAAACCATAGCATTTTACCATTTGGAAATGAGGTTGCTTCTAATTAACCACACATTTACCTATAGGTCTTTCTGTTTTCTCCCACTCCCATATTAAAGCATTTTCTGTTTCCTGGAACATATATAACATATTTTAGCCAGTGGAGTTTTTAAAAATCTGCTTTCAAACTGTAATCACCCTTTTTATTCTGCTCAAACTATATGCCAAAAAAAAGAGCTGACTTCCATTGCTTTTGACTCCCACAAATCAGTGTTCCCAAGTCACTCAACATGATTAATCAAATTCCTTGTAACATCCCTCTGCTACCACATAGCCATGAGTAACTTATATTAATAAGTTTAATTGAAGTGTCACTTGCAAGTCGTCAAAAGATCAAATATCAACATATGAAATGTTTTCTCCTTTGAAAACATAATTTCTCTGTATCAATGACTTTCTGAAGGGAGGTGTCTGTCCTCTTGGCTCTCTCTGGCTATGTAAATTAACATTCTGAAACATGAAAAGTCTGTGCTATGGTCACTATCAAACCACAAGCCACTTCCATTCTGTTTGCCTGAAGGTCACGGCAGATCATATATAACCATCACCACGTGGCACAGCAAGCCCCTGGCAAAGACTTGAAAGAGTTGTTGGAGGAGCCTCAGCCTCCAGTCACTGAAGTGTGAATGGGAGCCATTCACATTCCATGGGACGGGACACCATTCTGTGGCTCTAATCTATAATCCACTCTTCATATTGTCCCCAGCCAAAGTTGGGCTCCCAGGAACACAGCCAAAAAAGGAAAGGATGGGATATTTTTCATCCCTGGTTACCTTATCTAAAGTCTCCTCCCCTTTCAACTCCAAGGCCACTTTCACCATGAAACCCTCTTTGAATAGTATCTCCCAGGACCTGCTAATCATTCCGTCCTCTTCCTCTAGCCACAGTAACTGGCCCCACGGACAGTTGCGTCACCTGAGCTTAGCCAATCGGAGTTCCACTGGACTTAATGTGTAGATGCTACCTTCTTCTAGAACTTCTTTTCTTCTAGAACAGCTATATTGATTGATATAAGCCTGTGGCCATGCTTTCTATTTTGTACTTTTCCCTTCCAAACTCCTTCCATCCCATGCCACCCACATGCCCTCCCAAATCCACCACATAAGGGAAGCTTATTTGCAAGGCACAATGAAAAAGAACTAGGGCTGGGAGAGAGTCAGAGAAAGAACAGCCACTACCTATGCTGCCCTGCCTAAAAACACCCAGCTGAGGAGTGGGTGGGAGCTGGAATCCAGTCTTCTTACCCTGCAAGAGGCTGCCCTCAACTGCAGGAAGGGACCCCCTCCTCCTTTTTTCTTTTTCTCAGACAAAGCCTCTGTCTGTTGGCCAAGTATTCTTCCAATGCATGCAAAGATGTTGCATATGCTAGAGAGAGATGTGTGGTAAGATCAGCTGAGCCCCCAGAGTCACTCCCACCCTCCCCAGTTACAGTCACAACACAATTGCTTTTCACCTATGCTTGCTTCAGTTGGGTTTTTGTCACTTGAAACCAAAGAAATCCTGAGTAATACAGCAGACTAGACACCCAGATTGTTTCTGATGAAATACTATGTTTGTTTTAGTCTCAAACTTCCTAGTAGCCATTGCTTTTGGAATCTTCCTTTCAATCTCCAAGCCCTTCTACCTCCCTGGTCAGGCACAGACTAACTAATATCCTTCCTTTTCTTAGAGACTGAGATCACTTCTATGCAGAGATAAAGTACCAAAGAAATCAAGTTCAATCTAATGATGCTTCTGCTGGTTTCTTCATTAAAATGACTATTTATTATCTCTTTTGTTAACATTTTTGGTAATTTTTCTGCTGTCCACTTCAGCAGCAGAGTATATTGTACAAACACTGGCTATTTTTACCTAGTCTTTTTTTTTTTTTTTTCAGACAGTCTTGCTCTGTTGCCCAGGCTAGAGTGCAATGGCGCAATCTCGGCTCACTGCAACCTCTGCCTCCCAGGTTCAAGCGATTCTCATGCCTCAGCCTCCAGACTAGCTGAGATTACAGGCACCCACCACCATGCCCAGCTAATTTTTGTGTTTTTAGTAGAGATAGGGTTTCACTATGTTGACCAGGCTGGTCTTGAGCTCCTGACCTCAGATGATCCACCCATCTCAGCCTCCCAGAGTGCTAGGATTACAGGCATGAGCCACCACCCCTGGCCTTACCTAGTCTTAAAAAGAATCATTGCCACTTTTCACTGACAAATCCCAGTGTGTCTCTGTTTTGTTTGTAAGGGATGGATCACTCACCCTCTTTGGTATCTGTCCAACTCATGGAGAACTGTGTGGTCACAATATTCAAACACCAGGTGAAGCCTCCGTTTCCTCCTGAAGACTTCTAGGAGGTTGACAAGATTGGGATGCTTGAGTTGCTGAAAACACAAAAAAACAAGGTACTAAATTTGACTTGTGAAAGACAGCTTTCTCTAATCTTGATCCAATAAAAAGTAAGTTGTTTGTCCTTTAAGAGTTTCATTCTTGGATTGAAGGAGGCTGTAAACAGTATCATCTTACCACTCTTTACAAGCTATATCTCAGTAGCTTGTAAGTGAAAGATGATTATAACCCAGGTGGTTGGTGAGGGCAAAGAGAGGTATAAGAAGGCTAGAAAATAAAAAAGAATGAAGACAGATGGGAGATGGTAATACAAACTCAGCTTTCAAGGTTCAGATCAAATGTCCCTTCCTAGGGTCTCCATTAATCTCCTCAAACTAGTTCAGTGCCTTGTATGTCTAAAAGCCCCCCTGAAGTATGACTCTTTCAGAATTACTAAGTAATTAATAAATAATATGTAATCCTTAGTAATTATTGTCCAGTTAATTGTTTAGTGTCCTCTGGTATCAATAGCTACGATAGATAAATTCAATAGAATATACGAACGACGGCATCAGGGTCTACGTTCTTCTGTTTATCAAAATTGTGGTGTTGTACTTCCAGCGCCAGGCCCTGTACATAACAGGCATTCCGTCATTATTTACTCTCCAATTAGATGTGCCTGAAAATGTGTGTCTAGGGGAAAAAAAAAAAAAAAAACCCAGGAGTGAATGTGAGCTTTGGCAGAGATAAATCTTGTACCTAGCTTCCTGGCCCTTTCTGGACATAATCCTATCAGAAACACTACAACTAGGCACTGGTCTCTTTTTTTCTGCAGATGAAAATAAGAGACTTACACTAAGAAAGACCAAAAAAGTCACAGGAAAACATATCAATCATGGAGTCCCTTCTGCAGTGCCCATTCACTATCAGATCACAATTACAGTGCATTTTACCTACTGTTGTACAGTTTAACAGTTGGTGGATTGCTCCTCTTTTTCCAAATATTCTTTGATAGTGCCACCAGATAATTTTCCGTAAGAATTTTACAATCAAGTGCTGCTTTATCGCATTAAGTTTCCCCCGTTAACTCCCCATTCCTTCCTCCCCCCAGTCCCTGCCAAACACCATTCCACTTCCTATTTATTTATTTATTTATTTTAATTTTATTTATTACATATATTTTTTGAGATGGGAGTCTCACTCTATTGCCCAGGCTGGAGTGCAGTGGCAAGATCTCAGCTCACTGCAAACTCCGCCTCCCGGGTTCAAGAGATTCTCTTGCCTCAGCTTCCTGAATAGCTGCGACTACAGGTGCACACCACCATGTCCAGCTAATTTTGTACTTTGAGTAGAGACAGGGTTTCGCCATGTTGGCCAGGCTGGTCTCGAACTCCTGACCTCAGGTGACCCACCTGCCTCAGCTTCCCAAAGTGCCGGAATTATAGACTTGAGCCATCGCGCCCAGCCATGAGCCACCACGCCCAGCCTCCACTTTCTGATTTTTGACTAGGTACCTCCTACAGGTGGAATGATAGAGTAGTGTGTGTATGTGTATGTGTGTGTGTGTGTGTGTGTGTGTGTGTGTGTGTGTGTGTGTGTGATTGGCTTATTTCACTTAACGTTATGTCCTCAAGGCTCACCCAGGTGGTAGCAAGGTTGAGCATGAATAATATCCCATTGTATGAATATACCACATTTTGCTTATCTATCCATCTTTTGATCTATGGCCATGGCTTGCTTCCACCTTTGAGCTATTGTGAATAATGCTGCTGTGAGCATGAATGTACAAATATGTTTTTGAGACTCTACTTTCAATTCTTTGGTTGCAGGAATGAGCCAGGCATATGTTTTGTTTTGTTTTGTTTCACCTACATTCCCCAGGTGATTCAATGTGTATCCAGAGGTATTAATCACAGACAAGCAGGCACTCCATAAGTAATAAAAGGTAGAAGGAGGAAAATAGAAGTTCTTGAACTGCATGCTGTAGCACATGTATGTGGGCAGTGACAGTAAAAGCAGCCCGCGAGGAGATACTAAAGAAGACAGTTCTTTTTTCTTTTCTCATTTTCTCTGTAAAATCCCTCTGTATTTTCAAGATGTGAAATTCCTGCTCCAGATATTATACTTGATGAACAAGTATAAAACATTCAAGACATTTCTAAAGCCCATGTCTTCGTCCATCTGTGCTGCTATAACAAAATACCTGAGACCGGGTAATTTATAAAGAACAGAATGTTTTTTCTTACAGTTCCGCATGCTGGGAAATCCAAGTTTCAGGTGCTGGCATCGGTGTCTGCTGAGGGCTGCTCTCTGCTTCCAAAATGGCACCTTGTTGCTGTGTCCTCACATGGCAGAAGGCAGAAGGGCAAGAGAGCACCCCCCTCAACCTTGAGCTCTTTATGGGGGTGCTAATCCCATTCATAAGGGCTCTGCCTCCCAACGGCCACACCTCTTAATACAGTTGCACTGGGGGTGAAGTTTCAACATGAAGTTTGGAGGGGGCACCACCACCATTGAAACAGAGCAGCCCATTAATCACCTTTGGATCTTAGAACTGAGGGCGCTCCAAGTTATAAAATGCTACATTTGTTATCATACCTGAAAAACCCTTAGCCTGAACTAACATTCTCCAAACACAGTAGAATATAACTGATTAATGTCTTAAACCTCTGAACTGGATTGATTAAGACGTCTCAAACAGAGAGCAAAAACCAGGTTAAAAGGGGCTAAATGCTAACTTTATGACAGAATTCGCAGAAAGCAGAGGTTTTCTTTCAGACTGAAAAATAATCATCCTTAGGGTTTACTTTCATTTTCACACTATTTGCTCCCTTGACAGGATGTGATATTGAGGCCAAGACTTTGAATCTTAGAATTCTCTTTCCATTTTCCACATTCCATATTTAGTCTTCATGTCTCCAGCCGGCTCTTCTAACAAAAGTAGAAATGCATCAATTCTACCCAAACAAATCCCTCGATCTTCTCTGAATGCCAAGGTTGGTGCCTCCCACTTGCCACGTCCAATCCTGCAGTGATCACAGCAGGACACTGCTGCCCCAGGACAAGGCCCAAAGGTCCTCTCCATTTGGCCTCTGCTTACCTCTCCAGCCTCATCGCTGATAACTTCCTTCTGAACCCACTGAATTTCTCTCACTTCCTAGAAGGCTCACACTCCCTCTCATTTCAGGACGTGTTCAGTTTCCTGTCTCTAAAGCACTCCCTACCTCCAGATGTTACTTTCTCTGTTCAGCTTCCTCTGCCCCACCCTGACACAGCTGGTATGCACTGCAAGAGCTATGACCTTGGCACCCAAGCAAGGAGTAGCACTGTGCCAGTAAAGGACACTGTCACAGCCATATCCATTTGTCTGAATGGGACCAGTAACTATTATATTGCACCCATCTTGCTATGCTACCATACATCTTTTGAAAACCAAAGTTCTTAGCCAGGTGTGGTGACTCACACCTGTAATCCCAGCACTTTGGGGGCCAAGGCAGGCGGATGCCTGAGCTTAGAAGTTCAAGACCAGCCTGGGCAACGTGGTGAAACTCTGTCTCTACTAAAACTACAAAAATTAGCTGGTCGTGGCGGCACACACCTGTAATCCCAGCTACTCAGGAGACTGAGGCATGAGAATCACTTGAACCCAGGAGGCAGAGGTTGCAGTGAGTCCAGATTGTGCCACCGCACTCCAGCCTGGGCAACAGAGCAAAACTCTGTCTCGAAAAAAAAATAAAATAAAATAAAAAATAAATCTGTCTATTTAAAAAAGGAAGGAAAACTGAGTTTCTGATAACTGCATGTATTAAATATTCAAATAACACATAGGTTCTTTCCAATTTTTCGCTATCATAAATAAGGTTTTGATAAACAACTTATTAGCTGGTTGCCTCACTTGGACCAAGTTAGTTAAGTTCCCTAGGCCTCAGTTTTCCATCTGTAAGAGAAGTGCAAGGGCTGTAGTGCCCATTTCACACAGGCACATACAACAGGGTCAGGTAAATATTAACCTCTCTATAAACGTTAATTATTGATATTGTTACCTTTGGGTTAAATTTATTTTTATTTAGAATGATTTTTCTCTATTCATTTTGTTCAACAATTATTTATAGATCTTAAGGTGCATATGGCACTGTGTTAGCCCTAAGGACATAAAGACAAATAAAGCATGTACTGCCCCTACCCGCCTGGGGCTTAGAACCTAGGAAAGGAGACAGATGTTGGAGAAATCACTACAGATATGATAAATGCTATAAAAATGAGGTAAAGAGTACCTGGTTTGAGGGTGAGGTGTGGTTCAGGGAAAATCTCTTTGAGGAAGTGGCCATTAAGTTAATGACTCATTAACTGAAAATGACCTGAAGTTAACTGGACACCATCTAGAGCCCCAGAAATATAGCTTTATGGCTCTAACTAGATACAGTCAAATTGCTTTCCAAAAGGATTGTGCATATTTATCCCTTGGCCAGGAGAAAGTATTTTTACCATATTATAGCCAGCTTTAAGGAGCATATAGACAATTTAAGGCTTGTGATATATATTGCCAAATTGCTTCCTTTGAGGGATTACAGTGCCTCTGGCAACACAGGAAGGTGTAACTTGTCTCTCATCTTCCTCCATGAGATTATCTTCAAATAATTGCAAACAGCTGATAACTTATCTCTCAACCTGTTTTTAGAATAATTGTAATATAGAAAGATGATCATTAATACAAATCCTAGGGGTTATACATATTAAATTATAAATATTTTTAAATAAATTATTAACTTTCACTAGGTTGCCAGGATTCCAGGTGACCTGAAAATACTCCAGAGCAGCAGATATGAGGTCTGGCACAGCACCCTTATGAAGCCAGTCCCCGTCCGGCTGTGTTCATACATTCAACAAATATCCCTAGAGCACTGGGATGGTTAATACTGAGTGCCAACTTGATTGGATTGAAGGATGCAAAGTACTGTTTCTGGGTGTGTCTGTGAGGGTGTTGCCAAAGGAGATTAACATTTGAGTCAGAGGACTAGGAGGGACAGACCCACCCTCAATCTGGGTGGGCACCATC